CTGCTGATACCAGTACTAGTACTACTAGTACTACTAGTACTACTAGTACTACTAGTACTACTAGTGCTACTACTGCTACTACTGCTACTACTGCTACTACTGCTACTACTGGTACTACTACTACTACTGCTACTACTACTACTACTACGACGACGACGACGACTACGACGACGACGACTACTACTCCTCCTGCTACTTCTACTGCTACTGCTACTGGTACTGCTTCTACTACTACTACGACGACGACGACTACTACTACTACTACTACTACTACAACTACTACTACTACTACTACTACTAGTGTACGAATACCATTACTTATACTCCTAATACTCATACTAACGCTACCTCCTCCTCCTCCTCCTCCTCCCGCTCCTCTTCCTCCTCCTCTTCTTCCTCCTGCTGTTCCTGCTTCTCCTGCCGCTGCTGCTATACCTGCTGCTGCTACTGAATGCGCTAGCACCAAACATGCTACCACTGCCGCTGCGAGTCCTAGTCATCCCCCCCATCCTCATCGTTTTCGTCATTAGGATCATCATCTGCTCTGTCGTCACGGTTGTAGCTGGCAAAGCATGATCTGGCGCCCACGACGGGTGATGGCACTAGAGGTGTTGGGCTGGTAAGAGCAAGCTGTCATGGAAAATTGCGACAGCCCTGGCTCAAGACGCAAGAGCAGATACAGAGTTGTCGAAGAAATTGAATAGCATTCCCCCACACTTGCTTTGGACTTGCTTCGTAATTATACAACAGAAAACCCAGAACCCTGGTAGAAGCATTAAGGCACACAGCTCTGTGACTTCTGCCAGTGAGCGAGATTTTCGGGAGACTCCGAGAGGTCTTGCAGAACTTCCAGCAAGCTTCCATGGAATCCCTCGTGCCACAGAAGCCTTCGACACCACCTCCGCATACCAGCAGCAGGAGGGCTCGCAGGCATGTGGTGACAACCCCCGTTTCAGAGCACTTGCCACAGGAGCCGGGGAGAAAGCGATCCAGACCCAATACATCCGTTCTGGTGTCGAGCCAGGCATGCAGCATGCACGGCACGTCCCCATCTGCACTGCCGGACTTGCAGGGGAAGAGGGTGCGCTTCCAAGAGACCCCCGAGATCATTTTGTTTCTCAGTGATCCGAAGGAGGGCAGGGCCGCGAGTCTTCCGGTCCTGCGACCTCTTGCTCCGATCACCGAGGAAGCTGAGACGCCTCGGAGAGAGATACCGTATGTGGGTGGAACTCCTGTGGCACCAGGGAGACCAAGGCCAAGCCCAATGCCAGGTCCCCAAGACTCGTGCGAGGGAGGTCTGGCGGCCCTTAGTGCCGAAAGACGAGCCACCATGTTCCAGAACCTCTTCCCCGAAAGTCCGCAGTGTTGACACGATCGGCATGCGGAGATGTTGCTGTCAGGGACGGTCTTGTCCCTAAGGCACGGTACGGATTTGGAGCTTCCAAATTCTTTATTTAATACCGGCTCCCGCGACGCTTTTCCCAGGAATGCAGATGCGCAGTCCTGGCTCTGAAGTTTCACGTGTTTTGAGTAAGCAGGTGATAAAGCAGTGCATCGAGGCAGATTATGCTTTTTCTTCCTATTTAATACTGATAGTATTGGCATTGGTGTTGCTATGACGTTTACTGTAGTACGTCGTCGTCGTCGTCGTCGTCGTCGTCGTAGAAGTAGTAGTAGTAGCAGTAGCAGTAGCAGTAGCAGTAGCAG